CGCCGCCGCCGTACGTGGCAAAGGGAATCTGCCAAGGCGGTTACCACCCCGCCCGCTGCCAGACCTCCGCGCACGCGCACCGCTCCCACGACCCGACGGCGGGTATCTGGCCTGGAAATGCTTCGTCACAGGAAAAAGGAGGTGCGCAGGCGCAAGGAGAAGCGTCGCCGCGGAAGACACCGAAAGCAATTCGGCATCCTCTGCGGTTTCCTCTGTGACAGGAAGAGGATCTTAATTCCACATACGATAGAACTGATTGCCGGATAGAATTTCGTGTGGATTTGTAAACTTTACATTTTTAAAGTAATCGATAACATTTGCAGTGAACAATAATTCAGTGTCAAGGTTTGTACGATGACCATGTTTTAACCATGCTTAGGGCGGTGTGTGAATGCGTGTTCAGCCGAAGGTGACTTAGATTCTGCCATGAGCCCACTGAACTTTGGTCAAACTGAAACAAAAACATGATGTTCTCTTTCTGCTTCTAAACACACTATTCTGCATAATAGACATTTACTCTTCACTCACAGCCACTTTGGTGTGGCGTAATTGTCATTCAATTTAAAATATGAATTTCTCTCCCTGTTATTGAGGTCATTTGGTAAATTGTTAGTATGCCAACCTTAATCTACTTTGCGTTACTTTCTTTCCCATAAATATATCAGCAGAGATTCTTTCAGCAGTAGCAATGTACTATACTGTATATCTTTTGCCTTGCCTTGTTTTCAGCAATATCTTGCAGAAGTGTGCTATACAGTAATACGTTCTAGGAGCAGAGCATTGCAGTTTTCAGTGAGCTCCAGGTCCACAAGTGTGCTGTCATGTAAGCTTGCCCATCTGCTGATTTGATGATCTAAGGCGGTGTTTTTCAAACTTGGCGACTTTAAGATACATGGACTTCAACTCCCAGAATTCTGGCTGGGAAATTCTGGGAGTTGAAGTCGGCACATCTTAAAGTTCCCAAGTTTGAAAAAACACTGATCTGAAGAATTACTAAGGGAACTGATAGCTTTAGAAGTCCAGCAGATGGCCCCTTCTATGATGGTACCATACTGATAAATTCGTTTCTCAGAGATTTTACAGTAGGTAAAGTTTACAAGTTGACCTAAAAGGCAGATGACTTCATGCCCATGACCAAGAAGTTTTTCCTGATAGTCTGCTATTCCCTTCTGTCCTGAGATTTTTTTTTCCAAGCTCCCAGTGTAGTCTAATCTACAGCCCTGGTATTTCATGGAACTTTCCTATCTAGTCCAAACGGGTCTGACTTTTCTTAGTTTTTTGAGATCAACCAAAGTTGATGAGGTGAACCTAGCTGGACCTTTATCAGATAATAATATAGTTACTGCAGTCAAGAAGTTTAGGCTTCTTCCAAGCCTAAATGGCAAATAATATAGACAGGCTTGAATCGTTCTTACTCTTGTTGATCTCTGTATTCTAGAATGTAAATTGTATTACTTTACACTGACTTTATCATGTAATTTTGTATTGCTTTACATGAATTTGTAAATTTCCTTCAAGGCCAGTCTTGATAAACAAGTAGAACAGATGTAAATAAAAGAAATATGTGCACAGAATAAATGGGAATAGGGCACACTTTAGGGTCCTTGCAAACAGTTTAGTTAAGTGAATTCTTGCAAGGACTGAACTGTAAAGCATTTTGAATAATAAAAGCTATCCTGGTAATTAAACTTCTTGCACAATACTTTTCCAAATCTAAGATCTTAACACAGTTTAGAATGATCAAAGCTAGCAATGTTATGCCATAGTCACCAACCAGCGGTATCATTTTAAACTTGTCTGACTTGTTTTACTGCCAGGGGGCTTTCATACATTTGGCTCAAGATTAAGTAACAGGCAAGCAGAGGAATATTTTAGGTTTTCAGCCATGGGATGACTCTTCTGATTTCCTTGCCACTTAAAAAACACATTACCCATTTTAATGTTTATGTGCATTTACATTGGACCACAAGGATTAATCTATAGGGGAAGTAGGTCTTTCACATACCTATCATTTTCTTCTGAAATCTTTGATCAGTAATTTTCATTTTTCCTGATATTTAGAGTAGCTATCTTGGTGTATGGATTTCCTATTCTAAAGAAGAAACAATCTAAAGTTCATACTGCGTGGAAGATCAAAGTTCATGAAGTTGTGTCCTGCAGAGATATTACTAATTATGCTGTTAAATTTAATAGTGTTCAACACAGATGGCTGAGTACTCCTGTTTATCATTCTGAATAACTGATAAATTTCCACTGGTTTCAAGTGAACATATAATAGGAATGTTGATGTGTTTTCTTAAGACAAGCACTAGATTCCTAGATCATATTTAGCCTTGATTTGTATAACATGTCATGATTAGTTAGATTCACACAACAGGTCAAGGTGTGTTAGTCAGGTTCTATGCAATGGCTTAATTCAGTGTTTGAGTAATACACAGTAGGTGATTTCAAACTAGTCACTCACCCATTCATTTATTTATACATCTGCTATTAATGGCCACTGCCTAGCTTTGGGTAACACCACAAGGAAATTATAGATGGCATTGAAGCACAAGCAGTTGTGCAAAGTAACGAACATGCAAGGGAGATAAGTAACCTTTTTGCCAAAGTTGTTCCAAGCATCTGAAAAATGTCTAGAGTCCTTATAAATGAAAAGGTCAAACCAGGTGGCAGCACCTAACTAACCTTTGCTAACCTCAAGAAAGCTGAGTAATACTAGATCAAATTAGTACATCACCAGGAAGTTTCAGGGCTGTTGACTAGATTGGGGTGTCAAAAATCCAGAAAGAAAGCAGTTGAAAGCATTTCCAAATTGTTTCCAAGAAAAGGCAATGGACATGTAAATGTAGGCACCAGGAGTGGAGTTCAAACCAAAGGAGACTTTACTTTTAGTTGCTACAATAACTTTCATACCTAAGTCAGAATAGAAAATACATTCAAGTAGGATTGCAAATTATTTGGATAAAGCTAATTGATTTAAACCCTTCTGACTGATTAAACAGGCAGTTGCATTAACTCAAGCAATAGTATCTGGGGTTTTTATTTAAAAGTTATTTTCGTAGACATAAAAATCCTTACAAAAATCTCATGAGGAAGATGTCATTTTTAGAAGATGCAGGTATTCCCTCGCAATATTGGATGAATTCACAAAATGTGCTGAGCGATAAATCATGATTTATAAACCATGGTGATACTTTGCATATAGAAACTCTAAGCAACTGTAGAGTTAGAAGAATCAGATAGCAGGAGATAAGAAAGGCCTCTTCCTGAAACCCTGGAGAAAAGCTGCAAATTATAACCCAGGTAGAGGGACAAACTGTTTAATCTTTCCTAAGTCAGCTTCCCTTCATTCTGACACAGTACTTACCTTTCAGGGCAAAAGAAAAAAACAACAGAGGTTTTCTGAAGGATAACTGTTCAAAGTGTAATTTTAATTTTTCATTGGAACTGCTGTGCACAGAAAAATATTGCACTGCCACTGTGAGGTCACAGTTTTACTATTGAAGCAAAAGAGCTCATAACGTTCAAGATGGATATCAACTTCCCATATAATGGTAAATTTAGAAGCATAGGTGGTAGACCTAATCTTTATACCATTTAGAAAAAGATGCTGAGAAGATGCTGCAGAATAATAATGAAGGAAATAAGGCAAGTAAGGACAGGTGACGGCTCTTTCTCTCTTGGGTGCAAATGGTCTTTTGAGATTCCTATTAATTTTGTGGAAAGGGAAATGGGTGATTTATATGATTTTCTCCAAGAGAAGAAGAAATTCCGCAACAATTTTCCAAAAGCAGGACTCCCCATAGTAGTCATTGGCAGAAGCACCTTTGAAGGGTCAGAGAAGTCAAGGTGGTGTTCACAAGCATGAGATCAGAGCCCCAACCCTTGTATTGTTCACAAGTTAAAAGGAAGCAAGGTTTTGATTGCAAAATTTTGTGGTCTATTTTCATAGACATAGAAATCCACACAAAACCCTCACATGGAAGATGTCATTTTTAGAAGATGCAGATATTCCTTCACAAAACT